ACATATAAATAAACATACATGTACACATACATACATACATACACATATACATATATCTATACTCACTGAAATGACCTACTTCCTGATGACGCGCTTCTTGCCCTTTAGCTCTGACTCCATCTCCATGGCCTTGACCCACAATTTGACTGACAGAGGTATCTTCTGCAGACCCTCTGAAACCACCGCCTTTGCATCCTCAGGCGGCTAAGTAGCAATATAAAGCAAACATATGTCAGTTAATAATGGGTGTGTGAATATAAGAGACGTAGATGAGACTTAAAAAAGGTAAACGTATGTCAGTTAATAATGGGTGTGTGAATATAAGACATGTAGATAAGACTCTATGATGCTCTTAGTACTCGAGTTGAACGCACTCATGGTAACTGAGTGGACTCATGATAGCATGAATGTAAGCAACACCCACATGTGCATTGTAGATACGCATGTGGGATCTACCTACATCTGATCTGTACAAGAGGTAGTGCATGACTTATCCGTTGCATGCTATCAAGGTGCGCACAGTACATAAACGTCTGACCAATACCTGGCGGGCTAGCCGTGTGCCTACGCACTACATGTCCACCACAAGGCATGTAAAACCCTGAAATCCTAAAACCATAGAGGTCAGACTCGAAAAAACAAAAAACCAAAATCCAAATAACCTAGTTCACATCTTATAACTGGTTCAGAATATTAAAAAACCTTGTTCCACCCCCCCCCCATAGAAAACCTTAGTTCCAAACCCTGACATAGTTTCGGAGGCCATGGAAAAATCCTGAACCCAAAAACCTAAAACCCAAGACTCACCATCAATCTCGAGGCTTCCAGCCACAGATCTTCACTGTGTGGGCATTGTTCGGTGCCTTCCATCACAAGTTTCCTGGCCTGTGTGAATATGCAAGACGGGTGGCAGCTAAATTTAGAACGTGTGGCTATTGATAGATTGAGCAGCTAGAGTCCAACTAATTTTAGAAAGTGTGGCTATTAATAGATCATGCAGCCAGAGTCCAGCTGAACTCAGAAGGTTTGGCTACTTATATATTAAGCAGTTAGAATCCAGCTAAATTTAGAACGCATAGCTACCAATAGATTGAGCACTTGAAGTCCAGCTAAATTTGAATGCTTAACT